GTGTGTGTGTGTGTGTGTGTGTGTGTGTGTGTGTGTGTGTGGAGTGTGCTGCGAAGAGGGTCGGGTTCAGGTTTTCTAACATTCGAAGCATTTGCCATAGGATTTGAATTAAAGGTACTTATTTGTTAGCGATATCCCCGTTGTTTACAGTACAAATGTACTTGCCAAAGATTTAATTGAAATGAAAAGTAAATGCCAAACTAGACACAAATCAACAGAAGGGTTTCAAAAAGTAAAGATTGCACTTTGTGTAAGCAATTCAAGCCAGCACTGACTATAGAAGACAAATAAAAATTATTGTTGGCTACCAGAACAGATTTCAAAGGGGAAAACATTATAAAGGCGTCACAGGACTGGACATTTCAAATTGATCTCTTGGTGCTTTCCCAAATGTTTCCCGTGGAATCAGAGAAAGCAGGAGAGAAAGTAATCAAGTTCCACTCATGTAGCATTATAACAACGCTTCCTGTACACACGGAAACAAACTTCTTTCGGCAAAGCCAAAGATCCTAAAGAATATTATTATTATGTTGAAGGATGAAAAGAGATTGTAATTTTTTCATATTATTCAAATGAATGGGCATAATATTCTATTGCATTTCTTCTATATCTTTGAAGGCAGAGTAGTGTTTTATCAGTTTAATTATTACAACTGACTTTTGAAATAAAAGACAGAAACGCAGCTTTCCAAATTTCCAAGGATTAAAGACTGTTTACTATACATAGAAAGTTGAACTATACTATTGGGTAACCTCTTTTATAGCGCAGACGGAAATGAACCCACATTTACATAGCGTGGATAGCTATCTGACTTACGAAGATGTTTTATCTGCATAATCCCTCTTTAACATTTTTTTTTTTATATTCACAGAGCACGTACGTCGTATCCATACGACGCGGGGAACTCTGAGCCACCACTTTCCAAAGAGGAAATTTACTCGTTAATTCGATCCGTACGCTTTGCATAGCAGTCTATCAAAATGTTGGATTTTTAGAAATGCTGAAAGTTTCAAAGAGATCTTCGTACTAGAGGTATTCTAAAATGTGAAAAATACAACCCTGGGTGTACAAAATGACCCTAGGGTGTATGAACCTAGGGTTAAGCCAACAGAGTGCGTTTTCCAAAACTAGAATGTTTTCTGTAAGGTTCCAGCAGAGGATAGGGTAATGCTCTTCTAGAATCAATTTACTGCGTTTGACACTACATGTAGAGAGTGGTGCCGGTGTACCTTGCATACAAAAGGTAGAAGCAAAGACTGTTAAATACTTTAACCAGCGTCTGTGGCGACATCGGCCAAAATGCGAGAGAATTGCTGTCTTAGTTGGTGGTAGTTAGTTAAGACATAATTTGAAGTCACCATTTCAGACTATAGTGCAGTCAAAAATTCGTGGCGCAACTTATCACAAATCCAATGTTATTATCTCTTTACCGGGTGAATCAATGTCATACATTCTTTGAACAGCACTTACTCCTAAAATCAAGTTTGTCTTAATTTGGTAATAATTACCCCCCCCCCCCTCCCCCAACAATTGAGGCTACTAGATGAACAAGAATTATTACTTGAGTTATGACGGGAGTTCATGATTTATCCTATTAGTGAAACTGTTATAATCACGAGTTTCAAAGTATAGACTCTGCTTACAGAAGGTTAGAAGGTGAATGTAGTGCGCGAAGTAATTTATGCAATTTTGCTTATATGTGTGAAAAGTAAGAATTTATTTCCCCGAAGTGCAATGCTGAAACAACTCCATGTATGGTTTAAAAAACTGTTCATCATAGATCTAAGTCTAAAGAGAATTTTTTTTTTTTAATTTTTTTTTAAAAATAAAAAAAACTCCGTCAAGGGAAAAACAGGATTGTTCGCAGCACTTCCTGCTTCTCATACACATTTTGCATACTATTTTTATAGCATAATAACATTTCCTACGTCACAACCCACTCTTTAACAGCTAAACGTGTTACAAGAAATACATTTTCTCGTGAACATTTTTCTGCACTGAACGTTCTCAAAACATGTTCAATAAACATAATGTCGCAATAGGAAAAAAAAATGACATATTTGCTTTTAAAAGTGACATTGTCCCAGCTGTTAATCTTTAAAAGAATCTGTAGAAACCACCCACCTGGATTTTAAATTAGTATTATTTATGAAGGATTTTTCTAGAATACAGCTAACAGGTATTTACAAAAGTGATGATCAGTTAAAACTTAGCCGTCACACAGCCAGCAGTACAAAATGCCTCATCTGGTCAACCAACCAGGAGAGTTACTGAATCGGACGTCTCGGGCCTGTCACAGAACTGTGTCAAGTGACCGGAACGGATGATATCATTTTTCACCGTTGCATTATTGGGGCAAGTAACCACAAAGTGTTTAAGACAAATTGGCACAAGTCATTGTTCGAACGCTGGGGAGTCTATGTTCGATAGTTGAGGAAATATTTGACAATATGTTGCACCACGAATTTGTGACCGAACTATAATAACATTATTTTCATTCCCAGATACCCACTGCATAGCGAAACCAATACTATCAGTCCCATAAAAAAAATGTTAAAATAAAATCAGTCATCTTTTACCTGGATACCTGTATCGTTGTGGGGCCTCGATTTGAAAACTGATCCAGATCTGACCAGAGGGTCGAGAAGGTGGACGTCCGATACGTTTCTCCATGAACATAATGACGGCATCAGATTCATTGAGTCTGTCCCGCGAACTGTGAAACTCACAATCTCTGTACGGACAAACGGAGAAGTCTCTGTTGTAAGCGACAAATCCTTGGGGATTCTTTATAAATGCCGGACAATTATAGCATGCAATTACTTTTTTTTTCGTGGGTCGAGCTGCCAATTTATTGTCAACTTTATTTCTTAATCTCATTTCTAGAGCCGCATTCCTGTACAGCCGCGGTGTAACAATGAAGGGCGATTTGAAAGTATGATGATTAGTGGAGTCGTATCCCAGTTCGTGAAGCTGCTTCACCGCCCACTCCTTTTCCTTAGCGTTCAAATTGTCTGTCCACGACCATAACGTGGCCCTGGGTGTACCGATGGAAAACCACTTCAGATTGTCTCGCGACATCAACGGCAAATGATGGATTACCGGACGCTTATATATCATATTATCATTTTTAAGTGAATCCTTAAACTGTGGCGCTCTGGCTACGTGTTCCCTAACCGAATTCAAATTTAGAGACGTCTCTTTAATTAACGTTTGCAAGTTTTTCTTCATGCTTTGTCCCCGATCCACAATACCATGTATCCTGTTGAATGTATCATCCACAGTGTCTGAAGGCATTTGGTCACCATCAACAACCTCGGGCCCGTTTTCATCTGGTGGGGACCAAAATACTTCTGAGTGTTTATAGATTCTGAAACTTTCAAAAGGCATCGCATTTCTATTTCCTTGAATATCATATGAGGTTTGCCAAGTCCAAGGCTTTGGCTCAAAGATCACTTTGTAGGCAAGCAAGAATAGGCAGCTTGTGCTGAAGGAACAGAGGACCAACAAAACGACGAGGAGTTTCTTCTGATTCCACCCGGCCGCTCTACAGTCCTTTGCCATGCTGTCTGTCTCGATTGCGACAAGCCTTGTTGCTGAAAGTGTAGTACTGTGTATATTAGAGCAAATTTGTACAACACGTACCCTTTAACTAGGTCTGAGTACTCAAACATTGGACATTTTCTAGAATATTGCAAATTGAGAGTGGCTATTCGCCAGGGCACTTTTGGTCTTAAACGTGTTAAAATTCACTGAGATAAAGGAAGGGATAGCTTTAATTTGATATCATAAACAAAAACAAGTCTTTGCTGCGTGCCGTTTCCAGTCCCAACAGAGAACAGTCGTTTTTTTTACACTACCATAGACGTGTCATGTCCCAATTTCATCTGTTTTCTAACCCCCCATCCTCATCCCCCCCCCCCATCTCTGTCATTCACTCTCACACACACACACACACACACACACACACACACACACACACACACACACTCACACACACACACACACACACGCACACTCACACACACACGCACACACACACACACACACACACACACACATATATATATATATATATATATATATATATATATATATATATATATATATATATATATATATATATATATATATACAGATACACACACATACACGCGCGCACACACACACACACACACACTCACACACACACACACACACACACACACACACACACGCACACACACACACAAATCCAAATTCATCAAACATACACATACGCATACGTGCGCACACACACACACCTTCCCTAACTCTAAACCGTGGGTAAATTCTGGAGTCAAAGATCTAATCCATAATTAGAAAAAGGCTCTTAAAAACCATAACAAAACAGAATTAAAGTCATTGACAAAGCTATTAAGAAATTAATCTGGGTTGAAAAACAAAAATATAAAAAGAAACTGGAAGATCTGTTTCGTTCAAATAACTATTGAGAGACATGGACTGGGCTTAAGACCATAGTGGGCTACAAAAATAAACCAACAAACATATGTGTTGACAACAAAGAGTATGCAAATAAACTAAATGCCTTTTTCTCCCGTTTTGACAAAGGCAGTCCGTATGACTTGCCATGTGTGAACCCCGACACAAAAGAAAATAATGATGCTGTTGTTGAAGAACGTGAGGTTAGATGTGTGTTTGGACGTGTGAATGTGAGAAAGGTGTGTGGTCCAGACAGTGTGCAACCCAAAATTCTGAAAATGTGTTCAGCACAACTTAGGTTTATTTACACCTATATTATCAACTAGTCGTTGTTGACACATGCTATTCCCACTATTTGGAAATGTTCTGAAATCGTCCCCCCTCCAAAGAAAGAAAAAATTACTGAAATGAATGACCTGAGGCCAATAGCCTTAACATCGGTAGTTATAAAATGTCTAGAAAAAATTGTGCTAAAAAGACTACGAACGTACATAGGACCCATCCAGGACCCTCTACAATTTGCATATCGTCACTGGAGAAGTGTGGGAGACGCCATTTTACTATTTCTTGACAACATATATAGACACTTAGACAAGCCTAAAACATACTGTAGGATCCTGTTTGTTGATTTTCGTCAGCCTTTAATACTATCCAGCCAGCTATCCTTTTAAAGAAATTAGAAAACATTGGTGTTAACGTCAATTTAATATCATGGATAGGCAATTTTCTTACCAACCGAACCCAGTATGTAAAATTAAAACATTCTTCATCGACATACATCACAACAAATACAGGGGCCCCTCAAGGATGTGTTTTGTCACCAGTTTTATTCACACTATACACAAACGATTTCCAAATAAACAACAGTAACATCAAGTTGATAAAATTTGCAGATGATTCAACTATAATTTGGCTAATTCAGGCTGACCATAACGAAACCGCTTACCGGGATTTTGTACTTAATTCTTCTGAATGGTGTGAAAATCATAAGCTGCTTTTAAATGTGAAAAAAAAGAACTTGTCGTTGATTTTAGAATAAAGAAACTGCCCCTGCAGCCACTCAAAATGAAATGTGAAAACATCGAACAAGTGTCAGACTATACGTATTTGGGTGTTACAATAGACAACAAACTCAACTGGCGTGTCTACACTTCTCTCCTGCATAAAAAAATGAACAAAAGACTATTTTTTCTAAGAAAGCTAAAGTATTTTAAAGTTGATAAAACATTGATGTCCATGTTCTACCATTCAACCCTAGAAAGTATGATCAATTTTTGTATAATAGCATGGGCCAGGAACACAAGACAACAAGATAAAGAAAAATTAAATCGACTAATACGGAAAGCATGTAAAATTTCAACATCTTCATTCCCCTACTTGGATGAATTGTACATAACAGCTTGCGCTAAGAAAATTAATTCCATCTTTTTAGACAACAAACATCCCTTGTTCCCTCATATAAAAACATCAGTCAGAAGTAAAAGACCCATGCTTCTGATCTGTAACAAAGAAAGATACAGAAGGTCATTTTTACCATCATCTATCAAAAGGCTTCCATCTTAACCATCTTGTTTAGTGTACTTACGACCTTAGAGCATGCATCAAAATAACATTGAGTGTGTGTCTAGCTTACGATTATTATTGTTTATATTGCTGCTCATTTATATTATGCATGTGATTGTAAGCCTTCCTGTGTGTGCATGTGTGTGTACGTGTGTGTGTGTGTGTGTGTGTGTGCGTGTGTGTGAGTGAGTGAGTGTGTGTGTGTGTGTGTGTGTGTGTGTGTGTGTGTGTGTGTGTGTGTGTGTGTGCGTGCGTGTGTGTGTGTGTGTGTACTCGTGGTGGAACACCAAACCAATGTGCCAGAATCTGGACAATAAAGATGTATCTTATCTTATCTTTCTTATCTTATCTACACACACACAAACACACAAAAGAAGAAAAAAAACCTTCCAGGACCGGGATTCGATGACAAGCTTGGGGGCAATGAACACTAGAGAACGTAGACAGCTTGTATATTGTCTCTAACGTTAGAGAACGTAGCCACTACCATATATATATATATATATATATATATATAAACTAACAGAACAAACACCTTAGGAGACATTTATTGTAAAGAGGCAAAGAAAGGCCGAGGCAGAGATGGTAGTTTCAAGTTTCAAGTTAGACATGACACGTTATATTAACCAAACAGGACACAGTTATATAATGTATTATGTTCTAGGGCTCAGGTTGCGCTCCAGTAAGTCTTTTCAGGCCACGCCCTCATTGAAATTTACTCCGGGGAGCTGAAAGTAGAATAACGTGGTTTCACAGCAGACATAATAATAATATTTCGAAACGAAAAAAGCTTTCCATTATTATAGGACGACCCACTTCCCACGTAGAATTTTTTTTAAAGGAGAAAGCCAAAAAAAAAATAAAAACAACAACTGGAGGACACGAGGTGGGGTAGGGATGGGGGAGGAGGACTGAAGCATGATTGTTTGCCCAAAGCAAGGCACAACAGTTAATAGCCTCCTCTTAATACATAGATTAGAATTATAGAACATTGTCCCAGCTTTTTCCATTCCATGCAAAAAGTGACAAACAGATTTAAAAGAGATGATTGCAACATCTAAAGAAAATTAAAACAAGGTGAAGCCGATTTTCTCAAAGGGAAATGCAGCAGGGAACACATAGAAAGAACCATGAAAGCTTGTGTATAGTCTATCCTTTTGCTCGGATATGGGAGCTACTAGTGCCAAAGATTAGAGGTGTTACAAGAGAGTAATAATCACACAAAAATAGGAAGAAAGATAAGGACGATAGATGATTGATCGGGAAGAAGGAGAAAACCACACCAGAGCACCCGTATATTAAGGGAATGAAGAGAAGAGGAAAACAGAAACATGGAACAATAATGTTATGAAAAACAACTCAATCAGAAAAAAAGAACAGATCAGTACTGACAAAAGGAAGGAATAAGGTTCTGTCACCGTCAATGTCTGCCCCAGACTAGATCAAGACACCTGACAAACAAATTGGAGTAGAGTGGGACTTCTCTCGTCAGCATTTCCGAAATAATAGTTCACTTACCTTAGAACTCAGTGAGTGAAACACGCCGTGTCGAATCTTCAACTTCTCCTCTGCTCTACCTGCATCCGAGCTACAAAAGTCATTAATTTGCGTTTATCCGACGAGGATCTACCTGCGCTCAGGATCTGCCTGTGAGTTCTGTTACAGAACTTGGTCTCGCAACTCAAGGGAGGAGGGTACGAGTCGAATAATGCGTTCACAAAATCCGATACCCGAAACTGTCAAGTGCTCGTTGGAATACCTCGGTGTCGATTATCGAAATGGATTTGGCGATAGGCCTAGGTTAGCCAAATGGGCAAGCCTGTGAATAGGGTGAATAGGTAGAGGAAAGGAAGGGCTGGACCACGAGAGCCCCTCCTAGCGGATAAATAAATTAAAAGAAATAGAATACAGGAGTTCTAACAGAGGTAATGTGTTGTATTATTTTTAAAAATATAAGGTCTTTGGTTTCAATCAACACATTTATCGTATCGAGTACCGGCATCGAATAGTGCCCTCGTCATTAGTCATCCAGAAGGAAAGGCATCTTGTTCACTCAGGCGTGAAAATTTAACTTGGGCGTTTGCTCTATACTTGCCTCACCTATTCATCAGAGCGTAGTCTGTTGTTGTCGTCTACATCACTATTGAGGTTCTCGAACATCGCCAGGTGGTTCCACTTTGTTGAGCACTCTGAAGAGAAGAATGTTTTCAGTTAACAGGTTTTAACGTCCTCAGTTTGAAAATTATTTCTTAGCTTAACTGCACGCAGCTATCGTGACTGTGGCTAACTGAAGTAGGAGAAGCTGGCGAGGAAAATTATAAGTCATGTACTCGCTTGTGTTCATAAGGAGCTCACTATTGAAGCAGTTTTATTATCAGTTTTATTTTGAAAACACTTGACTATAAGCAGGGGCGAAAGCTGACCTGTTTAACTATCGAACTGGAATAATTTTTATTGCAGAGACAAAATTTTCCATTCCATGGATATTCAATGTACAGGTATTTCCTATCTATCAATATCTAGGATCCCCAATACACTCGCGAAGACAATTCTACATTTTCTTTGATTTCGCACAATTTTGCCCAGCCTCATTTTTTAATGTCAGTTTTGGGTGAGCATGTTTCTGGCGCCTCTTATCCTAGATGGAATATTGATGTGTTAGATGAAGCAGAATTTATCTGCCTTTGAATTTGCACGCTACATGAGTGGGTAGTGCAAGGTTTTAGACCGATGATTGGGTGATTACATTTTCAAGTTTCTTTTGGACGCCACTATATTATAGACGCTTCACCACTGACTACAAGGACCAGCGGGGGACTGGCAAAGTGGAAGTGTACAATTCTTCCGCAACAGGACAAGAAATTATTGAATGTCTTAATTATTTCAAAACCCTTCCCACCAGCACTCAGAAGCGCTGTCGCACTCACAGTATAGTATCCCCCCCCCCAATCCCCACCCTCTTTGGTAACGCGAAATTGCCAACGGACCTATAAGCTACATCAGCCCCAATGACCGTATTCCACAGATGCAACAGTATAATATGCCAGAAAGATTCAATTATGCTGCTGTTGGCATACCACTACCGTGGAATCACTAAGTTCTATCTGACATTTTTGGCCGTTTTGATTTACTAAGACCTTAGGGTCAGAAACCAGATGTTCTGTCTGCTCTAACAAATGTGAGGCAACGTGGTGGAATCAGGCTCTCGTCAATTTTTGGGCATGTAGAGTTATTGGTATCATCTTAAAACTTGTTCACTTGACTTTATTTGGATGAAAAAATATCCATTTATCTTGAATACCAGTTGAGATATTTGCGAAAGAAGGAGGTGGGGGTCACCTGTTTTCAGAGGTAAAATTAGTGAGAAAATGGCCGCCAAAGATTAGTTATTTCCTAACTTAAGAGTCCGTGGTAAATGAAAATTTACATTTTTTTGTGCCTTTAATCAACATTTTGCAGAAACATCCGAACAGAAATGGACATGAAAGGTGTTCAGCCAAAAAAATGAAAATTTGATACCAATTCAGAAACATGCGGAAAAATGCAAGTTTCTTCACTTTGATTATTTTGATGAGAGCCTGATTCCACCACGCTGCCTCACAAATTCGTACGCTTATATTGGAGTCATTATCAAGACATCCCGAGAACTGCAGTTAAAAAGCTTGAAATGATATGAAGCAAAAAGTGTTAGGTCGAATTTCTCAAAACTAAGTACTGAGCAGATAGAACTGTGTCGGTCCAAGGTAGTGATGTGTTTCGTTTGACCTATTGCTTTCACTGTAAGGAACCAAGACGTGAAAAGATTTTTCTGTTTTTGTTCTGAAACACTACAAGCCAAGATACCAAGACAGACCCCTGGCAAATCCTCGTACAACTAAGTACCCCACGGGGCGGTGCCACTGACTGAAGTGTCTTTAGGCTATTCCCAAAGGGGGGACATTTCTCGTTCGAATGCACTATAAAGTTGTAAATCCAATAATGTCATGCTCATAAACTGTGCCTGAACTGCAACATGGAAATGCTGCTTTTTCTGTCCTAATCCTTACTATCGTCAGTTTCATCTACTTCTTTTGTATGTTTGTCACACTCTTGTGACCCGCTATTTCCGGGGTGCCTTGATAGTCGAAGCAGACTTTGTGCTGTTGAAGCTTGAGAGTTAAGCAGAGTAAGTCTGATTCCCTGTAAAGACTTCTCTGTTGACACCCACCCCTTGGCGCTCATGTGACCTTATTCAGTTTCGAGCGCCGTAAAAGCTCTACTAAAACAAAGCACATGTACAACTAAGAGGTATACACTGGCCTGTCGCGAGCTCAGCTGACACACTGCCCAACGACGGCTCCTGACAGACGAGCTACAATAATTGTGGCGCTGTAATTTCTGTACACAAATTACGCTTACTTTTATGTAGTCCTTTTGGATTGTAGGTGTGTGTGTGATTACTTTAGTTCTGAGCTGTTCAATTGATGCCGGGCCTTGAGGACGGCCTGTGTCAGGTGTGGCCCGTTTTAGAACGATGTCGCTCGTCTGTGTGTTTGGTGTGAACGAGCGGAGAGACGGGAATACACAGCATCAAAGATCCCCCTACACATCTACGTTCCAAACTGCCGGTTCGGAATGGAAAAGCAAACCTGGAGGCAGAACCGTAGATGAAGATGAAAAGCTGCTAGAAAAAAAGATAGGGGGCCTAGCTTTCCAACCGGGCAGTTTTAACCTGAGTGGAAACCGGCGTTCGAACCGCCGCGGAAAACTGCTATTCGACGGGTCTGCGCGTCATCCATATCACGCGTGGTTTAACCGCAGTGAGTCTACTGACAATGACGATTTGCTTGCAATTTATGTGCTGCTTATGGGGAAAAATTTTGCTTTCTCTTTAATTGTTTTTTAAAAACGCAAATCCTGCTCGTTTCTTGCCTAAAAAATCGGTCGCTCGTTTAAAAAAATGTAATCAGATTTTATGTGCGGTAAATCATAATTTCGAAGATATTGGCAGTGACAAGATAAGCCGGTGAAGCCCGCGAGGTCACACAAAGGCTGCCGTCGACGGAACGCGCTGAACTGTATTAAGAAAATCCACACGTTGAAACCGCTGGTTCGGCCTCCCGGTTTAACTTTTTTCTAGCAGTCTTTTGTCTACAAATTATGCAGTTCTACTGCCAGGTTTGCCTTTCCATGCCGAACCGGCAGCTTGGAACGTATCTGTGTAGGTGGCCTATGGGGAGGTTCTGTGATAGTGTGAGATGGGATCTCTTCACATCATGACGCCTCTCTACCACATGTAGGGCAACATCAATGCCTTTCGCTATCATGATGAAATTGTAAAACCTCTAGGGGTCTCACAGCTGCAGCTGATTGGTGCTGGTGCAATCTTTCAGGAAAACAACCCCAGGCCACACCGTCCTCGTGTTATCAACGATTTCATTGCTCAAAATGGAATTAACAGACATTCCTGATCTAAACCCAATTGAACATGTATGAGACGAGCTAGGGGCGCCATGTTCAGGAAAATTACCCAACAGCAAGAGCTCTTGACCAGCTCCTTCACAATCTTCAGCAAACTTGGTAGGTCTATATATGAACACTAGATGCAGAGAGTGTTTGGCTAATAATGGAAGACATTCTCGTTATTGAGCCTTGTTTTGAAACCTTCATTTTTTATTTTTTATTTATTTTATTTTTGGGGTACCAATTCCACCTTATGTACTGTTGTTGGAGTTAATTTGTGACAATGTTTGAGGTTATTACATGTTTCTTTCGATATTAAAAAACGATCTGTAAAAAGACAAGATTTGTTTTTGTCTCTTTGTTCTCCTTTTGTTTAATTCCATAAGTGTTCCCTAACTTTCTTCGAAGACCATGTCTAAGGAAATTATGAACTGCACATGGTTGGCATACATGGCCATATTATTGCATCAATTGCAGGTTCAGATCCAAGCAGAAGCTGCGATACGGGATTATGACAGATGATTTTAGTGGACTGACGTCCGATAACGTTCTTGTTAACCTCATTGAAAAAGTAGACTAAAAAAAGTAGCATAACTGTGGTGTGTGCGTTAAGGACTTCCGTGGGGGTAATGGTTACGTGTGTTTGCTATTGATTTTGTTTTAGAATTATAGAAGTAGGTAACCATGATAATAGCCATTTAGTGAAAAAGGAAAAGCTCGATGTACAATATTATGCATAGAGAGTAAAGAAACAGAACACAACAGCGTCCTCAGACACACTTTGGAGACACGTACCACCGGCAAATAAGAGAAATGAACACGCGCTAGATTACATATAAAACGTTTATTCGAAACTAAAACAAAATGAGAAACGAGCAAACTTTCTCCAGACAAATGCTTTCATCGAGGAACACGACTAAACTCATACAGCAACTGCCTATTACAATTAACTTAGCTTACAATTTTTGTTCAATCCGAAATGTGACCTTATTACGAGTATGTTTATGACATCTGATAACGCTCCAGAGATCCGTAAAAGTTAAAAAAAAGAAATCCTCCCTTGGGACACTTGGGGACTTAAAACAATGGTTCCTCATGACGTTATGCGAGTTAATTGTTTAATTCAGTCCGTCAAATTAGTGATTCGACATATCCTGGCCATTACCTCTCCTTTCCTCGAGGTACCCTGCTGGCTGTATGGTGCCATTCCATGTTCAGTAAAAGTTAAAGTTAAAAGAACTGATTCTAAAAGAGAACATAAGTGCCAGTAGGTCGTCAAGCTTGCGGAATATACCTCTAATGGGTATTTTAAAAATCTGCTCTCTTCCGTGCCCTAATTTTAATGGTAAAGAAGGGATAAACCGCGTAGCACTCGTTTAGCCTCACTTCGTATTTTTTAGGGAATGCATCTATTAATACATGACTCCTTTGTCACGAAATTGTTTTCGTTACCCTGGCAACCACTGTAAATGAAAGACTCGCATTCACCTGATTCGGAATTGTAATAAAATCTAGGGTTATGAGCCTTGCATGGACCGCTCCACTTGGGTAGAAGACAGTCCGGGTGGCCATTAAACGGGTGTTCTCCTATCTCATTGAGAATGCAACTCTTGGTACATGACTCTTTCGTCATAAAATTGTTTGAGTTTCCCATGCAGCCACTGAAGGTGAAAGATTCGCATTCACCGGACTCGGAATTGTAATAATAACTGATACTGTTAATATCGCATTCAGATAAACCGCCATATTTTGGGAGAAGACATCTCGGGTGGACATTAATCGGGTCTTCTCCTCCCTGAATGGGTATGGTGCATTCTCGATTACATTCCTCCTCTGACCCGAACTTGTTCCGATTGCCCTTACACCCTCCGTAGATGAAGCTCTGGCACTTGCCGCTGAGTGCGTTGTAAAAGAAACGTTCGTTACGGGCTTTGCATGGTCCTCTTTTCGGGCTCAGATAGCAGTGTGACGTCGCACATACCGAATTGCACTCCTCGGCGCTTGCGAAACGATTAGCTTTTGCATTACAGCCGTTATGGTTTTTTCCGCCTTTTCGCTGGCCGTATAGTCTGCAATGGCCGCTGTAAACATTGTGGAAATAAACTTGTTTTGTACACCCAAGGCGACGAATTTTTCTTGATCCTTGAGTACACACGCATGCTGCTTGACACTCTGACTCTGTAGAGAAGTTGTTCTCATTACCGTCACACCCTCCATAGAGAAATTGCTGGCATGACTTTTCTTTATCGTTGTAGTAGTATCTGGTCGTAGCGGCCTCGCAAGGTCCAGGGTCTGCTGCAAGTCTACAGTCTGGAGGAAGAGAACAGAAGATTGTTGACTGGTTTAAAGGTTGGTGGCCCTAAATATATGTGAAGCATCGTGGTGGAATCAGGCTCTCGTCAGTTTTTGGGCAAGTAGAGTAATTGGTATCATCTTAAAGCTTGTTAACTTGTCTTTATGTGGATGAAAATAATATCCATTTATCTTGTATACAAGTCGAGATATTTGCGAATGAAGGAGATGGGGGTCACCTGTTTTCAAAGGTAAAATTAGTGAGAAAATGGCCGCCAAAGATTAGTTCTTTCGTTAGCTTAAGAGTTCGCGGTAACTGAAAATTTACATTTTTTGTGCCTTCAATCAACGTTTTTCAGAAAAATCCAGACAGAAATGGCTTTTTTAATGGGCATGAAAGGTGTTGAGCCAAAAAAACAAAATTCGATAAAAATTCACAAATCTGCGGAAAAATTTTAATTTCTTCACTGTTATTATTTTGACGTGAGCCTGATTCCACCAGACACATATGCCTCACATATTATGTTTGTTGGAATACATGTTTGATTACACTGTGGACACAATGTAGTCATGTGAGCGACACAGATTTGTTTTCTACTGAAATAGGCCTTCATGGCTACAACTAATCAAGCCAGAAGACTTACCGGGTGTTTAAAAAAGAGGACCCGTTTAAAGGGCAATAATTCTGTCATTTTTAACCAATTTCAACAAAACTATACGGCATTAAAATTCAAGCAGATGTACTGTACATTTGTCAATATAAAAAAAATCAACCGCGTGTTCGAATTTAGAACACAATTAAGTGAAACGCAAAATTTGGCAATTTCTTATGAATCAATTTTATTGTTCAGTTTAAGTCACCATTCGTTCAATACTGAGTTTTAAGTATTCGATCATTTATGGGTGGTTTCCCTACACATTGTCTGTAAAAACCCCCAAAGGTAAAAATTGAAGGGTTCAAGTTGGAGGGAATGTGGTAACCATTAATTTTTTATTTCTTTTAAATGTCGGAAAGGCGTTCTCCAAAGCTTTCTTGCTGCCATATCAGGGGCGAAGCGTCTATATAATCAAATAATCACTGCTTCCCTTCCTAATTTCGAAACATTGTGGCTGTCAAATTCATTCTTAAACGTAAACCTCTTAAATTAAATGTAAAAAGACGTTCGTAATCAACAATGAACAGAATGCCTAACATTCAAAACGGTTTCACGGCCACAGAAATAGCCTCAGCACCCCTCTCGGGCCACTCCATAAGCAGTCGCAAGCTTTGATTAAGTAAGCTTAAAGTGAGGCTGGAAGAGTCTACCAATAGACTTGAAGGGAACATGTGCATAGCAGTCAAAGCTGTTTCATTGCCACATATACCCTGTTCACCCCTTTGGGGCCACAGCTATAATCAATCAGAAGCCCTGATTATGTAAGCTAACTAACACTGGTCGAGTCTACCTCACAAATGTAAGGGGAACTAACTCCTAATAATCTCTTGACTGCTCCATGTGCTTGTTTTTTTTCCTCGACCTTTTACCGTCCTATAATCAGATCGTGACCTCGATTATGACACCAGCTCCTGGCCGCGAAAGGCTAACAAAAACAGCCAAATGTGAAATTTCAAAAAAATGATAATTGTCAAGTTCTACCAAAGAGTTAGACTCACTGGTAGATCTATAACATATATATCTAGTACTGACATCTTTGCTTCTTTGCTTTGCGTTTTTGTATTCACATCTAAAGTTAAATTTAATTTTAGTTGGAACTGATATGTAATAAGATACTTATTTATTACCGATTATTTTGGCGGTTGAACATACAATATGAATTCCGGATTTGTTTTCATTCACAACTCAGAGTCGCCGCCTCGAGTAAGATTCTTGTGTGATATCTACAGGCCATATCTGATTGTGATCCCGTTTCACTTTGATTACCCTGCATAGAGTTACCCCCTTTTAAACTAGAGTCCGTACGAGGTTACGTGACACGGACACATTTGAGTTTGTTGGCGGCCATTTTTAATGTGGCTAAAAAGTTTGTTTACATGTGAGTGGGCGTGTCTCTGCTCTTAGTCTTACGTGTTTTATTTGATTCTAACGTTATGTTTTGATTCAAAGCGATTCTCTTAAAGGTGCAAGCATGTGAAACCTCTTGTCCCTTTCTGGATTAACGTCTTACTGGTTCTGTCAGGCAGTTCAGTGATGTCTGTTTTCTTTTATTACATCATCTATTTTTAGGGCAAAATATGTCTTATAGATACAAATAGTCACTCCGGGTTTCTTTTTTAAAACAAAAAGAGCCATCAGAAAGGTTCTAGGCCATGTGAAGTTAAGGTTGACTAGCAGCTATATCTAAATCTTTTTCTCAATGGGCAGGAAATTTCTTTATCAAACTGAAACAGTGTACTTTTTATTGTTTTGTTTTATTGAATGTTGTCCAAAAACATCTTAGTAAAGGTTTTTGTTTCAGTTATCACTACACTGAGTAGAAAAACAATTGACTAGGCTACAAAACAACATTTAAGTTCACTTTTTTGTCTTTAGTGAGTCCAGAGTTGTCACAGTTGTTTTACTAATGTTCAAAATTAGACTTACTTAAAACAGCAATAGAAGGAGCTTTAGTTTAAGTGGTGTATATTGTCTACTTTAGTTTTTAAAATCAATATAAACCAAAATTTAATACCGACATAAGAAAACACTACTTATAATTTAGTACACTTTTTAAAAAAGTGAACATATGAATGAAAAATACAGTTTCCTGTTCAAATGTCACAAGGGAAAGTTTAACTCGATTTTAAAAATACCAGTACATGTATTCATCATTTGTTTGACCGAATTTGCTTTATCAAGAGGTTCATTGCATTCCTACACCTAAAGGCTGAAAAACTCTGGATTTTTTTTCCTATGGCTCATCCTGATTTAATTTAATGCCAAACTCATATACTGAAGGGGGCTGGGGGGGGGGGGTGTTGGTATTGGGATTCGGGAGGAGAGAGAGGGCGGAGTGGTTATGGGAGGTTCCCATGACACCCACATCTTTTCATACTTCTTTTTAAAAGTTCTATAGGCCCTATACGCTTTGATTCGGTCAATAAGAAATAAACCACCTCGTAGATAAAGTGCTGATGAAGAAATAAAGGTTGTTCTTTTTTCTTCTTTTTTCTAAAGCCCATATCTCTATCTCTATCTATTTAGTAACACATTTATTTGTAGATCTAGTTGTAGAAAGAACGCCGTATTACTGCAATTTAGTAATTTAGATATAGTACGCCACGGCGCCCATGTAAAAAAAAATCAACAAGAACCAAGCCTCGCCTGTCGCGTATGAGAGAGAGAGAGAGAGAGAGAGAGAGAGAGAGAGAGAGAGAGAGAGAGAGAAAACATGCCTAGCCCATTGCTTTAGCATGAACTCCTTCACACAACTTGCCACAAAAAACATGGCGGACGCCGCTGTCAAATGTGGCCATCGCGCAGCAAGGCGAGAGAGGGGCGTACTGTATCTAAGCTAGTGCGTATAGTGTACATCTATGTTACCCTGTCAAACAAGTCAGCCTTCGCCCCTGTGCCATATCAAGGCCACTCTTAGTGTGAGGGTCGAGGCCCCATCCCACAGCAACCAGTCCTGTACAGGGGGGCTCTCGGGGCCTGGAGGTTAAGGTGTTCACCTCTCATTCAAAGGTCATGGGTTTGAATCCGAGTAGCAACTGAAAAAAATTGTCTTCTCTAAAATTGTCTCCTTTCACCTTCTTTCGTGCTTTCTAGCAATGTTCTGCCGTCTGCTTTCGTCTCCACTTTCTGCCCCCATCCCTTCACCTCCTTTGCCCCCTCCTCGGGGCCCCTGGCACATTCTGCAGCCTGTCTACTGCTACTCCCTGGCTCCTTCTTACTGCTGTCTTACAGCCACCTCCCTGATCTTCTGGTAGGAAAGATCTAGACCTAGCCTTCTCGAACAAAGACGAAAAATCTCGGAGGTCCTGTGTGCAAGTTGACCACGTTAAAGATTCCATGGTGGTCTAAAATCGATAAGAGTAGGCTTCGGTCACCACCTGGGCAAAATTCAAAATTTCTTCCTACTAAAAAATTTGTAATGTGTCCCGCGCGCTAAAATAACCTTATGCATTGCGAGCGATGTAAAACACTTACCAAAAAAAGAACAAACATTTTTAAAGCTAAGGTACACATTCATGTACTTACAATCGGGTGTGTTCGCCTCTACTAGTCCAAACGCGAGGACAGTTGTCAGGAGACAAAACAGGACCGGCAGATCTCTCATGGTGGGGCGGGGTCAAGGTCACTAGTCACGTGATCGCTAGCAGTTAAGTCTGGAACTGAGCTCTTGTCTCACTGAGGAAGAGACCAATAAAAGTAAAAGTATAGATCTGGACACAGGCCATGGGAAATACGAGCAGCTAATTTGTGACGGGAGCGAAATCTGAAAGTATTACTATTGCGAGAAATGCGTCAAGCACCCCCCCCCCCCTCTCTCTCTCTCTCTCTCTCTCTCTCTCTCTCTCTCTCTCTCTCTCTCTCGTTCTGTATATATGCGTGTGCATGTGTGTGTTCTTATGTGTGTGTGTCTGCGTGTTTGTGTTTGTGTATATGTGTGTGTATGTGTATGTATGAGTGTGCTTATCACGTGTGTGTGTGTGTGTGTGTGTGTGTGTGTGTGTGTGTGTGTGTGGGTGTCTGTGTGTGTGTGGGTGTGTATGTGTGTGTGTGCGTGTATGTGTGTGGGTGTGTATGTGTGTATATGTGTGTCTGCGTGTGTGTGCTTATGTGTGTGTGTTTGCGTGTGTGTGTGTGTGTGTGTATGCGTGTATGTGTGTGTATGTGTGTATGTATATATGTGTGTGTAAGTGTGTATGTGTATGTTTGTACGTTGTATGTGTATGTATGTGTATGTATGTGTATGTATGTGTATGTATGTGTATGTGTGTGTATGTGTGTGTATGTGTGTATGTATATATGTGTGTGTAAGTGTGTATGTGTATGTTTGTACGTTGTATGTGTATGTATGTGTATGTATGTGTATGTATGTGTATGTATGTGTATGTATGTGTATGTATGTGTATGTATGTGTATGTATGTGTATGTGTGTATGTGTGTAAAACATATTCACAGACCGCGCCCGTTGTATTGCCATCAGCGCGGTCGTGTTCCCTGCTGGAACTTGAACGCGGCTCTTTATGTTTTTGCCACCTTAGGGTGACCAACAAAAACCCAAAGACAAAAGGAATTTGAATATAGTATAGATCTATATAAATCAAGGGATTTCTCTGCCTAAATTATCATATTTAGAATCCAAATCACTTTCAGCTTGAGGGGACAAGCCATCTGGCATTCAAGGAAACAAGCTGGCATCAGTGCAAGACTTAAGAATGAGGACCTAGATAGATTTGACAACTACTGCTGCAAGTGTAAACTAAAAGCGAAGTGTACTTAGACAATCTACACCGTTTTTACAAAAAGCCACAAAGTGGCAAAGCAAAATCTCACTATCTCACTTGCAGGAAACAGACAAGAAAAAGTTGAAAACGCAACCTTCCCTGGGATCGAGCAGGACAGGCAATTTTCAGGTAAAAAAACATATGTGAGGCAGCGTGGTGGAATCAGGCTCTCGTCAATTTTTAGGCATATTGCGTTATTGGTATAATCTTAAAGCTTGTCTTGCTTTCAATTAAAAAATTACCCATCCATCTTCAATAGACGTGCAGATATTTTGGATTGAATAAGGTGGGGGTCACCTGCTTTCAGAGGAAAAAATAGCGAAAAAATGGCCGCCAAAGCTTTATAAATTGCAAAGCTGGAGAGTCCATGGAAACTGTAAATTTATATTTCTGTGCTTTTAATTTTAATCAATGTTTTTCGGTGAAATCCTCAACGGAATTTGTTGGTAAATGGACATAAAAGGTGGTGAGCCCAAAAACACACCAAAAAAATTGCTAAGCATGGAGAAAACTGTTTTCTCCAATTTCATTATTTTGACGAGTGCCTGATTTCACCACGATGCCTCACATATCTGGAACCTGAAGACGAAGGCCAACAAAAGACTTAACCTTTTCAGACGGCTGGCTATCACTTCATGGAGAGCGGACAAGGATCCACTCATACAGCTATCAGTTATGTACGCTCTGCCATGGAATATAACTTAACCCTACAGACAATCTGCAGCAAACCAACTCAGAGGTCTCTGGACAAAATCCAGAATCAAGATGTACGATTTGTCTCCGGAGCTTTAAGATCCACTCCAACTGCAGCTTGTGAAATCCAAAGTAACCTGGAACCCTTGGACTTGCGGAGAGAGGCAGCAGTTGAGGAGATGAGTGAGCGCAACAAATGACTGGACAAAAACAACACAAACAGAACAATAATTGAACAGAGACGACCAAAGAAACGAATTCATGGAAGATCAATACTCGATACAGCAACCGAACTAGCATAAAAACATCATCTTCTATGTTACACTGTAACAGAGAAATGCTGAAACCCGTGTGACCAGAACTCCCCCCAAACACCAACATCAAGAACGCCAACATCAACACTTCCCTCATAAAGAAGACAGTGAAAAAGGGTATGTGACCCAGTAGAACTGAAGACCACAGCTCTCAAAACAATTAACTCCTACCCTAGTGATTCAATTCATATTTACACAGATGGGCCAGTCCTCGAGGGAACTATTAATGCAGGCTTTGGAGTAAAAATAGAACATCCTGACAAAACATGTGAAAAACTATTTGATGCTTGTGGTACTTCTTGTACAAATTACGAGGCAGAGGCAATCACCACTGAAGCAGCAATCAGCCACCAGACTAACATTTTCATTATATATCCAAACAAAATCAAGGACACTATCATCTTCTCAGACGGAATATCAGTAGTACTCCAAGCTTTGGAAAACGTGAATTTCGAAAGCGCAGCCAATTTTTTCGGTCGGTACCCGGTTTCGAACCCGTGACCTTTAGGAGGCGAACACCTTAACCTCTAGGCCCCGAGAGCCCCCCTGTACAGGTCTGGTTGCAGTGGGATGGGGCCACGACCCTCACACTAATAATTAGCACCTTCTTGCAGACCTATGCCGTCGACCTGACTTTACAGTGGATACCTGGCCACAGAAACATCCTAGGAAACGACAGAGCAGACACCCTTGCCAGGAAGAGAGCATCACAACACAACCACAAACCCAGTATCACAACAGACAGTCAAGAACATCATCAAATGCATCACCAGGGAACAGTGGCTGAATAGATGGGCAACGGGCAAAACTGAAAGAACTGTATAAATTTTGACAAACATGACTGCTCCGAACTCAAAAGACGCACTAAATGCCCTGAGAAGAAGGGAACAAGTCACTATCTTTCGCCTGCGAACGCAACACATCCCACTGAATTCCGACCAAAATAGAATCCGCAAGGATACTCCACTTGACTGCCCGTTGTGTGACTGACAGGATGAAACAGTATCACACCACCTCTTTACTTTACCTGCCCTGCACTTAGCGACCTGCGTAGTTCCTGCCTACCTGCCTCCCCAGACATCGGAAATACTCTATACAACAACAAAACGCAGTTGATAAAAACCAGTAAATTCTTTGCCATATCGACAGGCCGACGGGCTAGAACTAAATGGTGGCTGGATCGAAAAATGAAGTAAAAGTAAAGTAAAGGAGACAGGTATAAACACAATGTGGAATTTGTTTACAACAACTAAAATCATGGTGGGTCGTGATGAACGAAACAGTTTTGTTTGCCAGTTTTTAAATTGATTTTGTGCAATTAACAGTTAGCAATCAGTAACGTCAGAAAAAAGTGAAATACACGTCGTATGGGTTTAACGTATTTATCAACACTTCTGGGTTATCTAAATAGCGGGGCGTCCGAATTTAACGTCCAATGTTTCAACGAAACAGTCGGTCAGGTCACCAGTTGGGGTAAATCTGTGTGTAGTTGGACAGAAGGATTAACTGGAATGAGATCTTGGGGGTGAAACGCATCTAGACTGAACTTCTATATCCGGCCCACCTATTACGATGACCAATTCAGGTAGGAGGTCCTGGAAAATGACATGTGAAGGTGTAGCAAATCCTCTCAAACTGCCACCTGGTTCTGAACAGACATACTTGGGCACCAGGATGGCGAAGGAGCAGATGGAAGAGGAACAATACGCTCCAAAGTCGCAGACATATGGGCCGAGCAAGAACAAAGAGGAAAAAATGATTCACTTGCGAGCAGTACAGCAGAACGTTCGCACCTTGCGAGGCTTGAGAGTGCCTCAGCCGAGAAGCTTCACTGTAAGAAAAGACAATGCAGATCGATGGGTCGTAAGACTTGAAGCAAATCATTCCAGGATGAAAGACGTCGTGGATAGCTTAGTGTTTCAGTCGTTTCTCTTTTCACCCAGACCCAGAGTGGTACAGAACAGCAAACTCAGGAATCAGGGGCAAGGAAACCGAAAATTCGGTGGGCTGTTGTCAATTAAAAGGAAAGGTACAAGGCACTAGAAGACAAAGTCCGGATGAAACTGAAAGAAGCCAAGAAGAAATCCAGCACGGGGGATGCTAAAAAGATGTTGCATACTCGGGAAAAGTACTCACCCTGTCTTTCTCAGTTCAATTGGCTGCAAATGAACATTTAGCTCACAGAAGAGACAGATTATATAGGGGGAAAAGGTTTGGTACAGTAAGCGCCTAAAAATGCAATATTGAGGATTGCCGATGGGATTGGCTGGTTATTTGGAGTGATCGTGCTTGCTAAAGAAATGGAGGCCTTGTAATGTCAGTTGAATCTTCAGAGCGAAATTTATGATTATAAAGAAGAACATTAATACTTTTTTTTAAATGTTGGAATATAGGCTTGGCGTGGGATTTACGTAAATTTGAATCAAAAACAGATAAATATTTCTACTAAGGGGAGTCAAAAGGTAATGCCAGCTGTTTGTTATTTTGCACAGTTCGTCCCTCTAAACATGTCCTAGTTTTAGTCATATATTATGACCCGAAATCTTGTTAAAATGAACACACGATTTTCTTCATCCTATACTACACCCTCTCTAAAAATCGAAAGAATAGATCAATAAATGAGCTGCGGTTGATTCCCGTTTAAGCGTATCTCACCTCCTGCCCTCAAAAAGATACAATACGTACTCTGTTGGTTATATTAGTGCGTGCTGTGTACTCTGACCCACTGGTGTGTATCATTATACGGAACAAACGGGCGAAATAAACACTTTTCTATTATAATAGTTTCAGAGGGTGATATTTAGATCATATTAGCCATAGCAGAGAAATACTCAGATGATGAAGTTCCACTTGCACTTTTGAAAACTAAGTACAAAGACTCTGAAACATA